TTTGGTACTGGGAATCGAACTCAGGACCTTGCACTTACGAGGCAAGCACTTGCGCCACTGAGCTGTGTCTTCAGTCCTAAAATTATTGTGAGTGGCAGAATAATATTTAACTAACTGGCAGCATGGTAACTTACTTGAGGGATCTGCCATCATTGGAAATACTTGAGATGAAAATTCTGCAATGAAGTTTCTTGTTCCTGAATTGCTCTCACGCTGACTACTCGAGGGCTCCGCTTGTGGGTGGTGTTAGTGTCACTTGGACCTCAGTGCAGATGTCTGGGGCCGAGGCTCCGGGCTCATTTCTGAGCCAGCGTACCCGAGGACAGTGTCTCTTCTGTGGCTTTACTTCAAGTGACCCACAGCGCTGGTTCTCAAGTTCACTTCTTTAACTCTCGGCTGATGATCCTCTCTTCGGAGGACTGATGCCGAGGAATAAATAATGCCGAAGCTATGTTTTTCCTTCCGGTCCTCCCCAGCCTGTCCTTCAAGAGGGCTGAAAGTGGAGAGCACATCTCGCTTCACCACCTCGGTGGCTGAGTTCAGGCAAGGGTACAGGATCCAAGCAAGACTGGTCGTAACACAGTTTGGTGAATCAATATACACATTGAGAAAGAGCCCCTTTCGGTGACAACAGAAACCAGGAAGCAGAGAAGAAAGCCAAGCCAAGGGAAGCAGAGCCATTATCGGAGCCCCTGAATCCTAGTGGAACCCCGAAAACTTGCAAGCATAACTTGAATCAGTAACTTCTTTCCTTGTCCCGGTTGGCTCAGTTGGGCCTTGGCTCTTGGAAAGCAATGAGCTTCATCAGCCAGAACTGCTCTACTCCAACCTGCTTCTTAGATAGTGTATTAATTAGCAGCACTGCTACTTCATCATCTCTGGGCCCTGGATAGGGTTTTGTGTGCTAACAGGTAATATTATTATCAGGCTTTGAGGTTTGTTACATTTTCTCCAGAACAGACATGCTTCGTTAAATCTTTATTTTATACTAAAATAAACACTTCCCCCAAATTTAGTTAGGATGCGTTGTCTGGGCTTTTTCTTTGTTTTGTAAGCATTTTCTTGGATAGCTGAAAACATGAAAATTACATAGGGGAAAAGGTTAATGGGCTCTGTATGTTTTCCAGGGCTGCTGCAGCAACGCATCACAAATTGGAGGCAGAATAATATTTAACTTAAACAACAGAAATTCACGGTCTCACAATTGTGAAGTTTAGGAGTCCAACGTGAAGGTGCATGTAGGGCCATGTAGCTTCCACTCAAACTTGAGGAGGAATTCTTTGCCTTTCTTTCAGTTACTGGGGCTTGAACCCAGGGCTTCTGCACGGAGCTGCTCTTTCGCAGCGTGTTTTCTTTCTCCGTTAGAGACAGGTTTTCTCTAAGTCACTAACTTTCCAGGCTAGCCTTGAGCTTGCCGTCTTCCTGCCTCCATCTTTTCTTAGCTTCTGGGGTTTGCCAGCAATTCTTGGGCTGTGGGTGCATCACTCCGTAGCTGGCCTCTCCCTCTGTCTTCCCACTGGTTTCCTGTGTGCTCATCTGCTCTGTGTTCAGAAGGCCATCAGTCCTACTGGATTAGAGTCTGTCTTAATAACCTTGACAAAGGTGATCAAGATCACCTTTGTCAAGATGCTATTTGCAGATAAGGTCACATTCTAAGGGACTTCAACACACGTTTTTTCAAAGTATCTTCCACCACCCAACCACAATGGGCACCAGTGAGTTTTAACAATAGAGGAAGTTGATTATTTGAAAAACAAAACAAAACAAAACAAAAAAGGTCACAATTCAGCCTATGCTTATACTCATACCGTGCAATTCTACTTTTCCCTCCCATCAAGAACTGGAGTCTTGGGCTGGGGAGATGACTCAATAAGCACTTCCCTGGCAAGCACAAAGGCCTGAGTTCAATCTCTGGTTCTGAAAAAAAAAAAAAAAAAAAAAAAAATCTTGATTTGGGCCAGGGAGATGGTTCAGTGGAATAAGTGTTTCCCTGGCAAGCACAAGTACCTGAGTTCAATTCCCGGTTCTGCCAAAAATAAATAAATAAATAAATAAATAAATAAATAAAAATAAAAAAGAACTGAAGTCTTGGGCTGGGGAAATAGCATGGCAGTCTAAGCACCTATCTGGCAAGCACAAGGACCAGAGTTCAATCCCAAATACCACATGATACCACATGACATGTTGACCCCAGGAACACTGTGCTGGCCACCCAAGCCAGATGTGGTGGCCCATGTCTGGAATCCCAGTGCTAGAGAGGCTGAGACAGGAGGATCACCAGGAGTCTGAGCTGTGTAGAGAGACCCTGTACCCTGTAACCCAGGCTAAGACTCTGTATTTATTTAGAAATAAAATGACAAACAAATAAATAATGAATTGGAGGCTCAGCCAGGTGTGGCAGTCCATGTCTGTAATCCCAGCAGCCAGGAAGCTGAGGCAGGAGGATCACTGTAAGTTCAAGTCCAACTTGGGCTGCAAAGTGAGCCTGAATGGCACAGCAAGCCATTTGTTTGTCTCAAAAAGACAAATAAACAAAACAAAACAAAAAAAGACTGGAATCTTTTTATCTCCTACCCAATCTGGCCTGGCTGTGTAGCTTGATTTAACCAACAAAATACAAAGCAGTAGTGATACAAACTGCCAAGTCTAGGTCTGAAGATGCCTTACAGCTTTTGTCCTCATTCTCTCATAATTGTGGAACATTTTTTGGTTGTGTTTTTCTGTTCTGTTCTGTTTT